GACACAGAGACAGGGCTCGACCTCCGTCTCCTGGACGGGGACACAGAGACACAGAGACGCGGCTCGATCCTCCGTCTCTTGCATGGGGACACAGAGACACAGAGACAGGGCTCGACCTCCGTCTCCTGGACGGGGACACAGAGACACAGAGACGCGGCTCGATCCTCCGTCTCCTGCACGGGGACACAGAGACACAGAGACAGGGCTCGACCTCCGTCTCTTGCATGGGGACACAGGGACACAGAGACACGGCTGGACCTCCGTCTACTGCATGGGGACACAGAGACACACGGGGGGGGGGGGCGGTGACGCACAGCACAGGGGACACGTGGCGCTTCGCCCCCGGTCCCCTCCAGCCCGGGACGGGCCCGGTGTGCAGAGCCCGACGCCTGGCAGAGCGGGCAGAGCCCCGGCGGAAAGCGCTCGACCCTGAAAGGACGGGAAGGGGCCGGCGGATCGGCGACAGCACCAGGCCACCAGGAACAGGGCAGGTGCGCCAGGCTCACAGACGTCTGTCTGTCCGTTCCCGGGAGCCGCCCGCGCTGACAGAGGCCTTAACATGGTCTGGGTTTCTGGCTTCCCTCACAGCTCCGGCGACCCTCGGCCTGGAACGCGCGACCCGCGGCCCCAGCTCAGACGCGTCCTTCCAGACATCCGTCTGCTGCTTTTGCCAAAGGCCGAGGAGAGTTTTGTCCCCCGAACGCTGTGGGCTCAGAGACACAGCCCTGGATCGCCCCCTGGGGTACGAAGCCCGAGTGGATGGACCAGAGCGTGTTAGTGGGACTCTTTTTTTTTTTTTCCCGAGACACAGTCCAGCTCTGTCGCCCAGGCTAGAGTGAGTGCCGTGGCGTCAGCCTCGCTCACAGCGACCTTCACCTCCCGGGCTCAAGCGATCCTCCTGCCTCAGCCTCCCGAGTAGCTGGGACTACAGGCATGCGCCACCGTGCCAGACTAATTTTTCTCATTTTCTGTAGAGGTGGGGTCTTGCTATGTTGCCCAGGCTGGTCTTGACCTCCGAGCCTGAAGCGATCCTTCCATCCTGGCCTCCATTTCCATTTTTTTTTTGGAGATAGAGTCTCACTCTGTGACCCGGGCTAGAGTGCCATGGCGTCAGCCTCGCTCACAGCAGCCTCCAACTCCTGAGCTCAAGCGATCCTCCTGCCTCAGCCTCCCGAATAGCTGGGACTACAAGCGTGCGCCACCATGCCCAGGTAATTTTTTCTATATATTTTTAGT